GGTGAGGCTGCTCCCCTGGCTCGGGCTGCAGCGCCGCGCGCGGGTTCCCTGCTCTGCTCCGTCGCTCAGCCTGGAGCAGTCACTGTGTGCGCACTGTTGACACGAAAAGGGCGGGTTACTCTTCTGCATGTTTTTGAGAACCTGTAGGCACTGGGGAAGTGATTCAGTCGTGGGCTTGTTTAGTGTAGCTGAGATTCAACCAGCTGCTTACTTGCACCTACCCCACTCCGTGTCATTGGTTGTGTTTTACTGACTTTCTGCGTTTCCTCAGGTCGGTCCCACCACGTGGGTAAAAAAGCAGTTACAGCAGCGCTTCCCCGTTTGCATTTTGTCTTAATCTTGTGGATCTGGCTGACTTAACAGGAAACAAATAGGATTAAAACCCAGCTAACTGACATTGCAAGATAAATTACAAAATCCCCTGTGCTTCCTACTTTGTTAGATGAAGTCTGGACTTAAAAAAATAGCAAAGTGATTTTGTTAAAAGATGCAAATTGTTTTCAAGTTGATTGGCCCAGTGCTCTATTTTATTACACTGAAGAGTTTTATTCTCAGGCAAGGCAACTGCTTGAAACAACAGTCAGAAAGCCATGGAAAATAACACTTGCTTTTACCAGGCTTCCCATTGTACAGTGGCTTGACTTCTGCTGTAGTAATTAGTGTCATTACTAGTGATGACTGTACTGCTAAGAAACATTATAGGCCACTAGCAACATGCTCAAACCTCAAAGCTGTCCCTTCCAGCATAAACCATCTTGCCATGTAAATCAGTGTGATTCAGAAGTTTCTCTCTAGTTTTCAAATCAAAACAGCATTTGCAATTCTCAGAATCCTATGCCACATCTTTTGTAAATGTGACACTTCTTTCCCCCTTTTAGGCAGCATATGTATGTTTCATTGATTCAAACATAGGCAGAAGCATACAGTGACTTTCATGAGACCAGAACTTTGTTTTACACATAAAAAAGAGGTAACTTCTTGAAAATTCAGTCTCATTTGCTTTTGCTTCTTATGTTCCACATGGAAGAGACCTTTATATTAATGCCCTGTAAATTGCACAAGTAACAAAGTATTAATGTTTCACACTAATTTAAATTATGAACTTAAATCTGCAAAAATGGGGATCTTAATGTAGTTTTTTGAGTCTTTATCTATTAACCTGTAACTGAGCAGGAAAACTGTTACACCAACTAAAAAAATACTGAAGTTCTGTACATCATTAATACACAGTATCAAAACATCTCTAACTTCCCTTTTTTTTTCATTCCAGAAGTATTAAAAATGTATTGTGTAGGAGATATATATTCCTGGCTTTTAAACACTAAAAGCATAATCTACTTTCAACTTTTAAATCAGAAAGCCAACTATTCCATAATTATACAATGAAAACAGTTTAAAAACTTTGGAAAAGTATCTGCTACTGGTCTGACTGGGCTGGTTTGCCTATATTTCTAGCCAAATACAAATGTGGCTAAATGGTGGCAATACGAAGACTGCATCTCATAAAATTATTTTCTTTGTTACCTGTTTACTAGTGCATATAAAATCCCTAGGTGTTTATTTTCTCTCAGGGAAAAGAAATTAAAAAATGAACACATTTTGAAAACAATGAGAAAACATGACAACAATAAATGGCCATACAGAAGTTTTTAATATTTGATTAAATCATCACAGTAATCAGAATTTTTACTGTAATGATAGGCAGCTCTACCACACTATTATAAAGAAAAACATTAAGATCAATATTAAATACAGCTCTAGGCAACATCACAGATTAACAAAGATGCATTCTTCATGAACCAGTAACTGAATGATTTATTTATTTTGTAAAAAGAAAATAAAAATGCTGACACTTTCCCCCTCCCATCACCACTTTTTTTTTTTTTTTCAAATTAGTCACTTGAGTAAGGCGCTGGAAGTTTCACGTTAGAAATTTTTTGTTTCACAGCACAGGCACACATACTTCATTATCAGAACCTCTAATGTATTTTTACCAGAAGACATTTTAGATGTCAATAGGGAAAGCTTAGCAGGTAAGAAGAGCAAACAGATGCACCCACAACTTGTATGTAGCACTCAAGATCCATACTGAAATAAAAAGCACAGCAGGGTTGTGAACTGTATTTTAATTCAGATGGTACAGGCTGTAGAAGTTGGTGCAAGTTAATACAGTACACACAACAGTGGATTATGACAGTATTAGAAAGGGCAGGGTTTCAAACTAATGTAAAGCAATTTTATATATGTTGTGCATATGTCTTCCACTGTAGAAATAAATTAGACAACAGAATTCACAATCACAACTTCCAAAGCTGTCTTCTATAAATGGGCCAAATCCTGCTCTCTGTGAAGTTTCTTCAGGCTTACACAAATAAACAACAAATTTTGAGCCACTAGCACCGACCTTTCATGGAAGAATACAGCTAGTTGCTGCAACATTCTCATCTTAACACAGCCTGAGTCCCTGTTCCAGTTCCAAACCTGTTTTTAATACAGGGGCTGATCACCCGGAGCCCACTGGCACCTTTTGTTTTCTACTGGTTCCAGTTGCTGCAAGAGATGAGATGATGAGATGTGGGTGGCAGTTTTATACTTGAAAAAATCAGTAAAAATTCAGCAGAGCACTTAAGCACAGGCATGACTTTGGAGCTTGCCAGAAGTACCAGATTTTTAAGATAAAATCATACTGAGTACTTGGTGAATGAAGACATTTGAGGTAACAATCATGAATGCCTTAGAGATACCTAGGATTATTACTTTATAGACTTTTAGCATTTATATTTTTGCAGTCCTGTGGGGATAATGCTTGAAAGAAGGAAATTGTATCTAACCTCATCTTAGTAAGCATGATTTTTGTCAGCCAGATTGCTAAATATTTTTCCATCCAAACCTTAGGCTTATAGCATTTTGCCTGTTTTTTCCTCTACATGTGTTTGTAGTGGTTTGATAAAATGAATATGGAACAAATTAGTGACTACAAAGAAAAAAATAAATAAGTCATGGATTTGTCAGTTCACTTCCTAGTGCATATGCTGCCGCTGAATTTTCAAATCCTGCCAACTCTTCAAGTACTGTGTTTGCTTCTGCCCTGCTGCTCATCTTATATGGCTAGATAACATTTACACCCCTATATACTTGAAAAGAAAAAAGCTGTCAAAAGCAATCTAGTAAGTAGTTTTGCTTTCTTTCTCTTATTTTTAAAACCCTGCAATTTTTTAAAACAATTTCAATATTACTGTTCCAGTTATCTGCTTGTACAGGAAAAAGTAAATCTCAAGGTAACGGCAGTGAAAGTTGCATTTGAAAATGATCTTGTATGCATGTTGGATCACAAAAAAACCATTTTGTTTAAACCCTTCATCTAGCTGTAAACATTTGCTAATCCTCCATTAATTGCAGAGGATTATGAATTATTTTATAAAATCACATTAAAAAGGTAATTAGTTATGTGAGATATTAACTGATTCACATTTAATAGATTTTTTTAATCCATACAAATATAAATAAAGAATGGTAAAACCTCAAGAAAAATAATATACATTTAGTGCAAGTTATGAATTACATTTCTTCCTACCATGTCAGCAGTGGAACGTCTTTTGTGGAGAAGAAAAAATAAAAATTACCGTTCTCAAATTTTACAGAGGAGGGGGGGAAAGATCTCCAGTGTTGTAGCATGCAGTTTTTACCAGATACACGTATACAGAATTGTTCCAGCTCTTAACTAGTAGAATAGCAGTATTTGTCCTTGTACTGCACAACATTGGTATATATCATAGTGTTTTCAATAATACAAAAATTGCATAAGACCAGGTCACATTATTGATATTTCCTGCAGCAAAACCAATCTTTTTCTTTGAAACCCTAGTTTCATCTGATTTAAATTTTTCTCATATTATGATAGCACATGGGCTGAAACAAGTCACACATGGTTCTTGCACAGTATTACCTGTTCAAGGTTTTTGTCGCAGTGCATCTGTACCGCCCTAAGCATTTCATGATGTACACACATGTTTAATGGCACAAGAAAAATCTCCCTTCTTGTGATCAAACCTCAGTAATTCACAGTACATCTCAATATGAGAAACAACTGCTTCAAAAGGGCACACCAATTTTAAAGAGGCTTTGTTACGGCTCAGGAGAGAGAGAAATAAAGCTCTTCTGGAATGTAGGAAGGTGACGTGTGATAATTAAAGGTTTCATGAGTTAACACAACAGTTTTCAATGGTAAAAAGGGCAAGACCTTTCTTTCAGTCTCCGTAAGATGGCTCAGTTCAGAGTGATCCCTCCAGAAACAGGGACTAATACCACACCTCTTCAATACTGAAGTACCAGGCTGGGGCTGGAGAACTGCGCCACCTCGCAGGGCTCGCCCACTGCACTATCATGGCAGACCTGACGTCTCGGGACGCATCCAGTGCAGGACAGCAGCTCTCCCTTCCCACGTTCCCATCAGCCTTCCTCCTTGCCACATATTCCCCCAAACCAGCTCCTGATTCCAGCAGCACTGTTACGCAAAAAACCCAGCTCTTGTCTCTGCTTTTAGAAGTGTCCCCCAGACTAAAGTGTTGTGCTATTCAACAAACGAACCTCTTCTTCTGTTTCCTCTCTCTCCTCAGCTATGGGTTTCAGTTGAACATTATTGAGGCGGGGTCTTGGTTTGCCGTCTGGGCCATATGCCGGAGGATATCTTTTTTTGTTATAATGCCAAGGAGGCGCCTGCAAAGGATAAACACAAGACCGAGATTAGTCCAAGCTGGAAGATCATCAAGCAGAACAAATCTGTAGCCAAGTCCTTTTTGTTGACAGGAATAGAGCAAAAGTAAACAGCCTGATTTTCTTATTTAAATGAAAACATTTTATTAATAAAAATATTGAGGAACCTCTGGTTTATTAAAAGACAGCAATGCTGAGACACCGTACTGGATGGTCTCTGACAGCTGCAGTCCATTTTAATGAAACACAAGTAATACAAGTAGAGCCTGTGACAATTTTTATTTAACTTTTTGTTTCTACAAAAATGAAATTTTGATTAGTGTATGCCAACAAAAAAGTAACAAAGAGGGACAAAGAAAAAGAGGTATGAAAAAGAAGTGATATTGATCCCGTTTCATAGGGGAGGCATGTTCCAACCTAGCCATCAGAAGTGATGTACTGCTTGATGGCCCAAAATCCTAACAGCAAACCAAACTCCCCTTCATTTGAAAATTGTAAGGATCCTTCCAGTCTTACACACTGGCTCAGGCTGAACGTATTCATAGGAGCACACTGTACTGGCCATGAAACTTCTGTTGAATGAACAATAGTTGGCTAGTTTTTGGAGTTCACAGCTTTAGAAAACAAATAGTGAATAATAAAATATTTTTGTTATTTTCCAGTTTAGATACTGTGCTCTTATGACAGGGTCTTCATAGCTTTTAAAATTATAACTCTGTGAAGTAACAAAAAGGGTGAGACTGTCCAAAAGGATAATATCACAGGAGAAGCAAAAAGCAGAATGAATGAGCTGCTGCCCTTGTTATTCTGGTTAGTACATTTCATTTGGTTTTATTAAAGGACGCATGAAATACTTGTGAAATATTAGCATAAAATGAGAACATAATTAGCATGTTTTGCACATGAGCAGCTAAAGTTGGTGGGTAGGTTTAGTTGAGGTAACTAGCAACCCATGTCCAAATTAAGACAAAGTCTATCTTCTATCTAAGGTTAGTTCACAACATCATGGTTAAAACAGTATCTAGATGCTGAAGTCAATATTCAACATAGCAGTGTGCCACGTGGTGGCTTCGGGCATCACTGATCGTTTTGTAAAGGAGCACATTAACTGCTGTAGGTAACAGCAGCAGCAATCAATGTAGAATCACAGGACTTCTTACTAAGAGTAGTTTTTAAAAAATCACATTAATAAAGAGGCATTACAGGGAAAATCTAATGCTGTGGTACATTAAAAACATGCTTGGCTTTGCATCTCAAAGGACGTGATACTTACTTTGCTATTTAACAGCTATTTAAAGCTGCTGAGATCAGAAAAAGAAATTGGCATATATTAAAATCTTAATTTGCATTAGGAGGGGAAAACGTATTTCTAGCCACGTGTTTTCCCATCTGGGGAAATCAGCAGATCAACTAGATGGATCTGTGTGATCTCCAGAACAAAAAATATCACAAAGTCCATTGTTTACCTTCCTTTAATGTTGTGACTAACAGTACATCCATATTAACAGTTTAATTTATACTCAAGGTTTTTGCACATACTGTTTTATGGTTTAATAAATTTTTTTAGCGTAAGATGATTTCATTGTTCAGCCCATGTCATAAAAGCCCTGAACAGTTCACAAGTTTCATGCTTCCTGACTTCTAATGTGTCTAATTATGAGATCTGATATATCTAATCACCAAGGGTTCGACGTGCTGCTTTAGTTGCTCGAGATGCTCTAATATGTTCTTCTTTGTGATGATCCCCAAGACAATCCTGAAACAGATCATGTTATGCTAATAACTGTGTGTGAAATCAAATTAAAAAAAAGTTCTAATCATAATGAAAAAGGATTAGAGTAGAGCAAAACTAAAAATTAAAAAATGGTTGCAGAAAAGGTAATGAGGTAAGTAAATGAAAAACTATTTCCAAGTCTGTACCCTTTCCCAGACATTGCCTTTTTTCCTTTTCTCCCAAAATGCTGAACACAAGTGGATCTTCAGCCACCACAGAGCAGCATGTTTCTCATTTCAAGTACACATCAGGGAAGCATACTTAAATTCCTTCTCCCCATATTCATGTGTCTTCAGGTTTTAGAAGCACTGAAACTAAAATCTACTTGATTTGCTTTGTTTAATATTTATTTCTCCTCACACATGCAGATCATTATTCACATTTTAACAAGCTACAGTAGATGAACAAAGTGATTACTGTGTAAAGTCACAGCAATTGAGGTTTGAGGCTGCACTATAGAGCAGGGTTATCTGGTGTCCCTAGAAACAGTACAATTCAGACAAATTTCTCATTCATGACAGTGTAAATCAAGAGCAACTCCCTAGAATGGATACTCTGGTGCAAATTAGGAGGAGTGAGGCTCAGTCTTTACATAGCTCTACATTTGTCGTCAGGACCAATTTCTGCACACTTCCTATTCCAATCTGCACTGGAACCAGGAAATCAACATGTGACCTGATGCAAGTATATTCAATTCGCAGGAAATTTGTTAAAATACTGATTAGACCTTAATGTCCACATGGCTATATGCCATGGCAAAATACCACCAGTACTAGTATCCACTATCTGATCTTTTTGTAATGGACAGTGTGCTCATGGAATATGAAAAGTTTATAAATTGAAGTATAACAACAAATGTCAATGTCTGAAAATAATGAATTATTAAAGCCATCCATCCATAATTGCTTCTACTTTATAATAAAATACATAAAAATGTAGAGTACAGTTTGATATAGTTTTGCACTATTAAGCTTTCTTAATTGAATTTTTTTAAATTTAAAATTTCTAAGTTTATTTTTATATCCATATAAATGTTCGAGCACTCAACCACAACAGAAACAAAAAAAATCATCATAGTAAGTCTTCTTCACTGAAGTTCTATCAGTTCAAATTTCCCTCCCAAAACAAGACTAATTGCATGCCTGCACTGACTTCTAAGGGTCAGATCATTATATCCTTTCCCAATCAGAGAAAGTTTTTAGAGTTATTTACACTTCGGAAAACATCTACTTGCCGTTCAATATGGGGATGCAATGTAGGAAAAAAGGCAGGAGAACATTTCAAATATATATACTTTTTTTTTTAATACATCTGGAAAATAAACTTTGAAACAATCAGATATTTAAATATTTGCCACTTATAGCAGCAGTCCTTCTGACCACAGCAAAACAGAGTCAGTTCCACTCCTTTTTCAGGTTTCTTGGGTTTTGTCCCACGGACATTGATCCTAAATAACATGGATTAGCAGACAATGTTTCACTCCACACGTGCCATAAAAGACACACTAAAGAGAAAGCAAGAGACTATGGTAGGAGCTGCAATGTTGTGTGTCAAGTGTTTTAATGCAATAGATACAGGAAAGCAGAATGTTAAAGGAACAGCTACACAGAAAAAGATCATGTAAAAAAAGGAGCAGTTTAGATAAGAAGTTTGTTTATAATTAACATTTAAGTTACAACGAGCATTTACATTTCCATGCCTAGGGCTGATTTATTTAGTGGGTAATCACAACACCACTCCCTACATTCTCATTTACAAACATCTGAAATTTTAAAATTACTTTCTTGAAATATTTTGAAGTGCAGAAACAAAGGCTGCAGATTGAGGTTCAAGAAGTAGTAGCACTTACTTAAATCTTAGTATTCCAAGAACAAAAGCTTGGTGGTAAACACCATCACTAAACTACAGAGTAGGACATACTGACTGGGTCGTTTTCTCCCTTATTTTTTATGAACCCAGATATTTGTAGATGTTCAACAGCTGATACATTCATTGCACATTACCAGAACATATGTAAGAAAGGAAGCACAGGCCTCAGACCGTGCACCACATAAGACTCAGTTTCTGCACAAGTTGTCTCCTCCACATGCAAGTTGCACACAGAAAATGGTTGCTGAACGAGAGCTGATTTTTAAAGAAACATCTTAAAATTACTGAAATCACCTGTCTGCTTATTTGGAATACAAGGGAGGAGTAAAACTTGAAGAGGTGCCACAGCTCAGCACCTTCTTAACAAACAGTAAGGGTCCTCACCTGCAGTACCAAACATAAAGATTCAAATATCATGATCCCGGAATGTATCTTGGTTCAAATACTATGACCCTGGAAGTGAAAATTACTGTATCTAACAAAATGAACATAATTGCTGCCACTTTACTCACCCGTTGTGAGTTACAAGGCACTGCCTCAGACCCAGCTTCCGGAAAATATCCACCACTATTTCCATTGGTGTGTGGTCTGTCACTGTAAAAGGGCTCATATCAAGTATGCTTCTAAGCTTCAACGGTCGAGGGCTTTCCGCTGGAAGCGACGGCGTGTGCTGGGCAAAACAGACCCTGGAACTGCCAACAATCCCTTCCTGTTTCTTTCTAGCACTTTCTTTAAGAAAAAAGGTAGGGGTCAGGAAACAGGAGAGGAAGAAGTATTTACATTCTTGGAATAAGATAATTTAGTGCAAACAGACATATCAGTCAACACTGCCAGACTCTAATGTTATTCTGTAGATTCTGACATTCTGATACATGCTATTTTGGTGTGTTTCCACAGCCACTGCATTTATCCCTAACAAGTGCTTGTGCAGTAAACCACAAAAGCCATCTATCTTAGTTTTAACCATTCTTTGGTTACTACCTTTCTCACTCCAATAAATAACTTTTATTTACTATAAAGAAGTGAAAAGACTTAAAAACATACAAGAAGCACATAGACGGCTGTTGGAAAAAAGTGCCAAGAGAAAAGTCAATTACAATTTACAGCTCCCCAATTATGACTTCAATGGCTGTAATTACCATTGGTTTGAAACCAACGAACTTCCTTCTGATCACTCTGAAAGTGCTGTCTTTTTGTTTATAATGACTTAGCTTTGTATGAATTAGATCCTTTCCTCTTCATGTCTTCACCACCTGAGTAACATCAGCATCACTCCCTCTACCCTGAACTGCTTCACACAATGGCTCTCGTAAGAGCAGCCAAAACCCAAGACTAAGCAAGTTGCACTGTGCAATCTCAGGAGCTGAAATGAGTCTTAGCTGTGAAAGTGGTTTGTTATTCCCCTATTTACTCTTGAGTAAATGCAATCTTAAAACAGTATGATGTCTATTATAACTTCCAAGTTTTGGACATTCCTATAGTCCTACATCCTACCCAGTGTAATACCAGCACACACAGTATAAAGACCACAGGGAAAAGTTTTACTGAAATAAACAGTGACGTGTTCACAAAACATTTTTTTAAAAGTTTCAGGAGACTTTTGTATATCTCAAGCATCTTTGTTAAACAGATACTTCTCAATGAACAATCTTATGAATTATAAAAAAAAAGTACTTTCAGATGCAGCTTCCATCATTGGTTTAATGCACCAAATGTTACAGTCTTGTAACATTTTCTTACATAGTAATTATTTTTTCCCTTGGTTATGATAGTATCCTCAAAATCCACAGAATTATTCTTGCCAATGCACAAAGCATTGTCACAAGTATCACACAATTCTAATACTCATCCAGAAAAAGAGACCTCAAACAGGGCATGTGTGCTCAAGTGCCTAGGGCTAAATTTCCTATTACACAAATAAACTGAAGAACAGAAACCTAAAAAAATTAATATTTCACTTACTTCTCCATATTAAAATCTTAACTGTTATTACAACAGTAAGTAACATACCATCACAGAGAAGTACAATATACACTTAAATTTTAAAATGGCTTGGACAGTAATTCTCACAGAATCCTGCTGTTCTAAAGTAAAAAATACTTAATTTTGAAGAATGTCAGTGTAGTATCACTTGAGGAAAAGAGATACCAGCAAAAGCCTCAAAACAAACACGATACTGGACTAGATGATGTTTTGACCTACTGCTGTATGACAACTCTTGTTTTTATGACAGAGACATTTTCTCCATTTCAGAGCCTGCTACTGAAGTTAATCATACACTTCAACGAAGGAACAAACAGCCTGTGTGAGGTATCTGAGCCTGAAATAGGTCTAGAAACACACAGAGTAAATTCTGTTTTAAACTATAAAATTATTTAAATTGGCACAGATAGTCATGCAATACTGGAAGATAATTACCTATTGCAATAGTTAAATCCCTTCTTAGAGCAAAGCCCACTAGTCTCTGCGATTCTTTTGACATAATAACAGGAAAACCATTATAGCTGGTTTCATTGATCAAGTTTTCTATGTCTTCAACTGTCATATTGTCCTGTGTCAGAACTGCCAAAGGTGGATCACTTCTTCGAGGTCTCATGACATCAGCAGCCAGTGTTGTGTGAGTAAATTCTTCCTTTGCATCCAAAAAAGGATATCCATTCAGGCGGATGTGTGCCTCATAGATGCCTTCCCGACCAAAGGCATCTCCTACCCACTTACTGGTCATGACTGCAGCCATTAGGGGCACAATATATTCCAGCCCTCCTGTTAGCTCAAAGACAATAACTACCAGGGACACAGTCATCCTTGTCACACCACCTGCAAAAAAAATGGTAGCCAGTAATGTTCTAGTATCAGAGAACAAGGAATTTATAATTTCCTGCCTTCCAGTTGAGAACTACCAACATAACTTTGCCATTAAAAGTATTCTGATAAACACCATTCTGTATAATACAAGAAGCAGCAGACAGGAAAAACGACAACATTTTCAGAAGTAAAAGCAAGCTTTGGGGAAAATTCCTAGAAAATCAGAGAATTTGAAAAATTTGTGAAGTTCTTCCATGTAAACTAAGAATAAAACTATTTCTCCATACCACACCTAAGTTAAAAATACGAGTGCAAGAAATTCCAGTAAGATAGGAATATAGAAAAAGAATGGACCTAATGCGGGCAAGTCACAGGTAGCAATTCAACAGATGTGTTGTCCAAAGGATTAGGAATTTTATGCTTTTGTTGAATCACAAAAATGAGAATTCTGAGCTGATGAAAGCTGATTTCTTGGACAATGGGAGAAAACAGGGATTATATTTATTTTTTTGTTAGTTAGCATTCAAGAAGGGTTTTTTTTGCCAAGGTTTCTGATGCCAAATCTTCATTCCATAAAAGAACATGATCTTTCTTTCAAAAAAGTGGAAAAAGCGATGAGACTTAATCTATTAAAAGACAAAACAACTTCTCCAAAACGTAAATTTGTAATGCTGCTCTCTTTGGCCACTCAAATGCACTTCTCCTTAAAGAAAATACCTACTTTTTTTCAGAATCTTTACTAATAGCTTTCAAGTCTAATTTCTAAGACAATGAAGTTATAAGCTAGAACAAGAAAAGACCTTAAAAAAACTTCACCTACTTTAGGTGACCAACTTAAGCCTCCTTCCATGAAACTGATTTTCAACAGTTTGTAAATCAGACTTGTTAAAAATATCTGAAGCTGAAGCTCAAATCATCAGACACTTCCAAAAGCTTTGTCTGGATTATGAATTTTAAGAACATTTTTCACAATTCATGTAGATGTGGCAGCTGATCATGTCACCTTGTAATAATTTCAACAGTACTTGACTCTGCAAATACTCTACTTCACACATTTCAAGAAACTGTTCTGACTGATACAGTATTGACATCTCCTAATACCAAAAAGAGAAAGTAAGTGTTACTATGTAAATACTTCTGTTTCTCATCAATTTAAATTTCACATAATCACAAGAATCTGACAGTCTCATGTAGAGATCTGAATGTATTATTCTGAAGAGAAAGAAGTCCATTTAAACAGTTATACCAGAACTGCATATTTATATCTCACTTCATTTTTAATCATTATTTTGGCAACATACAAGAAATCAGATACTAATTTACTTTGTTGTATTTTAGTTACCTAAGCACGCAGCAGCACCAACCATGGCATAAAGACCAGGTGTAATACAGTCAGCTCCAACTTCACACCACTCCTTGAAAATGAACCAGTCATGATGGTAGTAAGCCAGCTGCTCCACTGCAATTCCTACAATCCTTCCTGCTATTGCTCCAATTGCCATACTAGGTATGAACAACCCAGATGGAACCTGCAACAAAACCGGAAGAACTGCTGTGATGTTGATGACACACCTCATGCATGGTTTTGCAAGTAAATTTTAATTATATTTTTCTTTTTCCAAAAGACATACAAATGCTCAAATTGTTATGCTAAAATAATGTAAATTGACACTACAGGGTAGTAAAACTTAACACAATGCTATGGTTACCTCTGATCGACCTGGTAAGCTTAATCTGTTTTATGACAATGTTTCTTCATATTTTACTGCACTTAAGACCAAATCTATCACCAACACAGGAGCACAAGTTAGACTCTCAATGCCAACAGCACAATTTTTACCATATGTGTGTGCAATCTGAACTGCGCTCCTCACTGAAAAGTATTCCTCACTATTACCCATCTCCCTTACTACGTGTTCCTGTGAGTTAACATTCACCTACTAAACATGCTTTGCACATAGGACTGCCTTCCCAAACTGCTTCCTAACACTGCTATAGATTAGTTGGCCAACTATAACAGTGATTTTTTAAAAAAAGCTTTCTTACTATATTCAGTTTTCCATACAAAGTTGTATATACACAATGGTAAATACAGTAAGAGAGAAAAAGGCTGGGCAACTTCCATTGCAAAAAGTACATAATACAGATTACTGTAAAAAAAAAAAAAAGTTCCTAATGTAATTTCAGTTATTGAAACTGCTTTTCTGTTATTAACTCAAACCTGAGAAGGCCACACAGCCTTGTCATACCAACATGGCTTTGTAAAATATTACTGCAACCCTTGGTTTTATCAATAGCTTCAAAAGGAGTGAGGGTTCATCCAAGAAACTGCTGTTGTGCATCTTTTCTCCTTTTCAGGAAGCTAATTGTCTTTACAAAAAACATACCAGTTTCTAAATGTCTCGCTAAGTTGGAAAAGTCTGCTGCTGCTGCTCCTCACAGCAGTTCTTACTATCAAAATATTTTCTACTATGATGGAGGTATAGACTTGGCTAGAAATAAGTAGCAGAATCTTTACTTTTTGTTTAAATGCACCTAAGCTCCATCTTGTCAAAATAATTTCATTTAAAAAATTGCACTCCTGGTGTAACAGGATAAATTTAGTTTATGTTTTTCCACCCCAACTGTTGATCTTCAGCCTTTAGACACAGTAAAGTGTCTACTAGTAATAAGCAGTACAGTATACCTACAAAGGCCTGAAAAAAACCCCCAACAAACCAAAAGCAAAAAACCCAAGCAAACAGCTGCCAGATCAGCTTCCTGGTGGTGCTTGTTCATGGAAGTAAGAGCAGCAGGGACCACCGTGTCCTGCAGGTAGCAGCTAAGCTGCTTTGCTTACCCCACAGGAAAACAGCTCTTGTGGGGGAGACTTGTGTGTCTGCACATGGCTACAGCTCAAGGGATAGACCTGGAGAGCCCAGAGGATCCTTAGTAATTATTTAAATTACAAAGTTGTCTTTTATGAAGACTTTTAAAAATTATTTTTCTCCTCCTTTCATAGAAATAAAGCTTGACATGCAAATAAATACAACATTAAAGTGACATCCCCTTCTTTAGATCTCCAGGTACTGGCTGATGTTCTAACCAGCCATATGCTTTAAAGCTTCAAAGAAATGTATGTAGCAGTCTCATCAATGACAGCACCATTATTCTTTGCCTGTTGCCAAAGTGATAAATATGGTTTTGCAATTTCACAAAAATAATTCCACCAAATTGCAGATGCTGAAATTATGAGAAAATTAAACCAAATGAAGCACAAGCTCTACCTTTCTGTAATCTAGTGAATACTAATACACAAAGTGTGATCCTGTGATTACAATCCCATGAGAAAGAGCCAGGTGCACACAAACACAGAAATAGTAAAAAATCTTGAAATGCTCAGAAGGGCAGAGCCCTAGATATAAGTAAAACAGAGTAAGTGAATGCAAAAGATTGGAGCAGTCATGTTTAGAATGATGTCTGAAATGTTGACCTATGGAAGACTAGCACTTAAAAGATCCACAATGGATTTCTTACCCATCAACCAATTATGTGGAAAATAACTTCAAATAACAGGCTGCAACATCTTCTAAAATAGCACAATATCATCTAAAATAGTAACACAGCAAAATATTGTTCTATCCCTTACAGAAAGGATGAGGTTGGGTGTGACCACTCTAGAACATCTATTGCAACACCTCAGCTCAAGCAGGGTCAACTACAGCAGGTTTCCCAGGATTGTATCCAGTCAGGCTTTGAGAATCCCCAAGGATGGAGACTTCACAAATTCCCAGGAAAACCTACTCCAGTGTTCAACCACCCTCACATAAAGAAGTTCTTATGCATGCAGTTACATGGAAAAGAAATGTAGACTGAAAAGTGAAAACCAATTTAAACACAAATCCTTCTTAGTGAACAATACATTTGTATTAAGACACAGCTGATAATGCTGGAGCTGCAAAAACCCATGAAAGGAGCCTGACATGACAGAAAATGATGAAGGTATGACAGTTAGCTGTCATTCAGAAAACAGCCACAGGTTGGAGAGAAGCTGACGAGAGCTCCAGAACCGATTTATGAAATGACCAGAAAAGACAAAAAACATGCTGCTTTGTAATGGAGAAGAAATTCTCATTACAGCCACATGAACAAAGCCTGCTTCTTAGCCCTGACATGCAAAGGTGGAAATTTCAGGAAAGGTTTCATCATTAGCTCCTTCAGACAGTCTGCACTAAGTACATGTATGTGATATTATGGAGAGGGAATTTTTAAAAACCCAGCAAGTTGTTCAAGAGGTACAACCTTCAAGTTATTCAAGGACTAGGGAACTTGTGTGGTTATATTTGAACTCAGCTGAATGCAGCTCTTGGAAATTTTAGAATCATCCTTATTGCTGAATCAGGCCCATATAAACAGCCATCCACCCTCACAGTTACTATTATTCAGCTGAACAAAGGGCTAGTTTGAATTTAATTAAACTTTTTTTTTTTTTTTTTACAATAATTGCTTATTGATGAACACTAAAAATACCTTTTTTAAAAACAACTACACATAAAAAAATTCTATAAATAAAGCTGCTAGCTTTGAGAAATGGAAAATGAGAAAGGTAATAATAAATAATCACAGCAGATGATGCAGCCACCGCATACACACACACTTACCTTGATACCAAAGGTGAAGACTGTCATGATTATTTTAAATATGAGTGCTAAACACAACTGCCATATAGCTGAATAGACTCCAGTGCCTGCTGGACGGTCAGGAATATCATCTACTATTTTGCTTGCATTCATATCATTTCTGTAATCACAGAGGGAGGAGGATTCTAACGGCCCACAGTCTGTGAAGAGCTCTTTAATAAGCTCACTGGTGTTTAGCCTTGTATATGGATTAGGAAATGCAATGACAGCTGTTATTGCCGCAACAATAATAACCTCCAGGACAGGATACTTCCCAAATTTCGTAGATTTTCGTCGGCGACACCATGCGATGTTTGCTCGGATGAAAAATGCTCCCCAGAGCCCACCAAATACTCCCAGAAGAATAAAAGGAAGCAGTTCAAAAAGGTACCAAGGAGTGTGATATTCCACATAAAAAAGAACTAGGCGGCTATTACCAAAAGGATTGATGGACCTTAAAACAAATGCAGCTACTAAAGCAGCAAAAAACGATCTCCATAAAGTTTTCAGTGGGAAATAGTAACTGACCTGCAAAAGGCAATGCATGAGAATTATTAGTGGTTGAATTAAAAGTACTGAGAAAAAAAATTACTATTACATTCAGTATTACATATGAGTATTATTCCTATAATTTGGAGCCCTGGCACTTTAGCACATAATATTAGGTATTTTGCAACCAACTAATGAAAATTAATTTAATATGCAGCATTTCTTGGAAAAGAGTTTGTTGCCTTGGAGGTTAGTTTTATAGCTTAATTGCCTTTAAAATAACTAATGCATTAACTTGTGTTTAGTGGTTTAGTATCTGAAGCTTTAAATAGTTTAAAAAACGTGTTTCACTAAACTCTCAAATAGGTTTCTAAGGCCTCTTTCAAAATGAAAAACTTTTTTTTTTTTTTTTAAAGAATACACTCCTAGACTGAAAAGCTGCTGTATCTCTATCTGTATGTAAACTGACTCAGTCCTTTTCCAGAAAAATATAACTGAGAATAAAACAAAGCTGACATTTATCCAAATAAATGAAAAGATATCTTTAGGAGTTTGCCAGTAACAGCAGTGTTATTTTGAAATGTGGGTCCACAGATAATTTCCTTCTTTGGAAAGTCCACAGCTGAAAGGATTCTGAGATTATGAATTTTTAATATCTATCCTTTGGTGCCATCTTTTGACATACCTCCTCCAGACTGAAAAGGACTCCACCAATTGGGGCACCAAAGGCTACAGATACTCCCGCTGCTGAGGCAGCTGACAAAACCTGAAGAAGAAAAAATGGTGAGGGGTATTTTTGCAGTCTGTGATACACTTCAGACATGAAGAACAGAATCTAATTGTAGTTACCAGTTTCTTCTATGTTTCTATCAAGGACACACAGACTTGCTAACAAAAAAAGCATCAAGTAACTGTATCAAAATGCTCATAAGACTTGGCCAGTGGCCAGCGCAGCCACCAAGCCAGTCCTAGACATGACAAAGTTGCCAAAGGATGCTACTCAAAGCCTCTGCAGCAAAGCACCCAGAAGCGTTTAGGCTTCAGTATGAATCTGCTGATAACTCATTTTCAGTAAATTGTAGTAAGCTTTCTCTGTGCTAGATGTGTGTGATGGAGAAATCCACCAATTAAAATGCTATTCAAAGGACAAAAATCAATGACAGACTGCACAGCTTTTATATCAGTTTTGGAGATCTGTGCTCAGTAGTCTTCAATCAAGAAGCTGCAAAAACATCTGAGGTGAACTGAGATTAAGGGAGAGATTAAGAACTGAAGAGGCCGCTGGTCCTGAAGAATCATGGATGAATTATGTTCAATAAACAAGGATGGTTAAAATGCATGTTAATTATAACAATATCTTGTAAATGTAACAAATTATTTGCAAGAACATTGACACCTAGGTAACAGCCCTCACACACCTGTGGAAGAATATACAGAAAAAAAAAATTATCCTAAGTAGTTAAACCACAGGTAAGTTAAATTATTTAGGAATACATAGCTCTGAAATAGGAAGTCAACCCAAATTTCTCACATCCTAGAGTCTCCTTCTAAAAGTAGAACTTGAGCCTTCCTCAAGTCTAGTCTGTTTTGCCTGTGATGGTAATTTGCTAGTGATCTCTCTGTCCATATCTTGACCTATATGCTTTTCATCTGATTTTCACCCACTGTCTTGCTGAGGAGGAGGGATGAGAGAGCAGCTTGCCACACTAACAACAAACTCAAATAGAACAGAAACACTATTGTCACCAACTCTTTTCCAGGAGTACTTTGTTCACAAATTCAAAAGTCCTCTACTATCCTCACAAGTGAAGACACTCATCACTACAAAAACGTAGAGCCAAAAAAGGAAGAATATAAGTAAAATCAAATGGCCAGTAAGGTGGGAGAAACACAAACTTACTGTGACATAGAACCAATTTACCTTGAAGAATACTAGGTACAATACATTGTTCTTTACACAATAAATAGCATCAGTAATCCAACCCTAAACACTGTCCAAAAGAAGAAATGTAATAAAAAAAAACAACAGTGTAAACACATGCATATTCAATACATTCTGGAAATGTTTTTGCTAGAACTTACCTCTCTTTTTTTAGCTTCATTTGTGCTGTACTTTGGAAAGAGGTAGGAAAAAATATTCCCACAGCAGCAGGCAACATGTACCAAGGGACCCTCTTTTCCTAAACTCAAACCTGATGCGACAGCCAAGACTAAAGTAATTGTTTTTATCATTAAAGTCCACTTCCCCAAGTAACCTCTGATGATGAAGCCACTCAAAATAGTTTTTATCTGGAAGAAAGAAAAACATGTACTGTTCAGATTGCTACACTGAGTCCATCTGGTTGCCAGAGGGTTTCTGTTTGCAACTGACATCTTACACACTGGACAATAACATACAACAACATTATCCAATACATTTAGTAGAAATTTAATCTGCAGTAAATTATGATGTATTATTATGTAAATTATCAAGTGATAGTCAGTAAACTCCCAAAGGAAAAATAAACCTGCAAAAACTATACTCAAGTTCATATATTGCAGCAATATCGCATTTGCATCAATTTCACCCCTCTCTGTTTTCTCTTCGTGTTTTACCATCTCTACACAAAAATGTAACAGTACAGTTCTTGACATAAAGATGGAAAAGGTCTCTTCCACTAGAAACGATGTGCAACTTGCCCAAGACGCTACTTTACTTAACACTGTCATATTATTAGTCCGGAAAATATACTCATAGATAGGAAATAATATAGTTATCACAGGGAAGGACAACATGTCTATAAATACGATATACACAAAACTTTGGGCAGCTGTGTATAGAAAGTAAAAATTAGCTAAATTTGGAAACTGATTCAGGATGAGATCTCTTCTGGAATAATGGCACCAAACTATTCCAGCTTTATTCAAAGGAAGGATTTGTCCTTCAATTTCTACATGTACATAAGAAATATTTACAGAATGACCAAAGAAGTGAGACTGACCAGACTTTGACTCTGGGTTTCTTTCTCCTGTTCTGTTTATAGTAACCAACAATTATTATAAAAAGCATGAATTGTTGAGGTATCAAACATTTTACTTTGTGATTGTCTGATGGTTTATGCTTGTTAAGGCAATTAAAGCCAGTGCAACAGAAAATCAACTGCTGTATCAAAGGACCTGTATTCTGTCAATTAAACACTGCTCTCTTATCACCACAGGGAAGGTGGGGATTGAGGGAAGCTTTGGAAATCACTCTGCAGAAGTCTGCTCTCTTAAACTAAAAGCTTCCTTAGAAAGTAGTCCAGCCAGAAGCATGCAGCAAAATCTACAAACTCAGGAGATTCTCTGAAATTTGAGATCTTTTTCTCAGCAGCAATTAGCACAATTACATTTGAATACTTGGATTAATGTACTTCATCAAGGTCACAAGGCACTCCCCTCTTGCCTTCCTCCTGATCCTATGAGAGCAGGAATTTTGACACTACTATGAAACATCTATAATGTATGTATTAGTTAAACCTCACCTCAGGTATCCCCGAGCCACAGGCATAGGGAGCAAATACCTTCACCAGAGAAACTGCTAAGAAGGCAAAGCCCAAAGCCCAGAAAATGTACATTATGTAGTTCATTATGTATGAACCTGGACCCTAAAGGCAAAACACAAAAACAATGTCAGAATATACATTTGATGTAGGAACAAAATCACTACTTAAAATAACCCCGAAGTATTATTGCTGCAAGTACACTTACGAACACATTTTGGGGGACAGTAATTACTACCAAGCCAAGAGAGAGAGGGGTTTTTTTTAAGGGATAAAGTCATGACACCTGCACAGCAGCAAAAACCGGATTATACAAGTCTTGTAACACTTCATCTTAAAAAGAAAAAATAAACATAGCACAGGTAATATTTTGAATAGCTATTATTTGCTAAAATCTACTGAATACTGAGTAAATTTCTTCAATTAAAACCTCTGTGGTAGGAAAAATAAAATATTCTTAGTTATTGGAAAACACTAGAAATTTCATTATTTTTTTATATATCGCTATGATCAGGAGTAGAAGTTCTCATGGTATTAACAGTTCTCTACTCTCATAACTTCCTTATACCTGCAGCACTCCTTGCAGTGCACAAAATGTTTTTTTATTACACTGTATTTTAAATTTATTATACTATAACCTATTAATTAAAATGCTGACAAACCAAGTAGACAGTTCAACCAAAATCTGTGTTTAGTACCCTAACCTTGAGACCATTATTTTATTTCCATGTTCAGTTTAGCTGTTGAGCAAGACCATAAAAAAAAAAAAAAGGGTATATACTTACTTCTGCTTGCCCAATTATTAGTTCTGCCCATGTTTTCCACTGAGGACATTTATCTCTCTCTTCAAATGTGGTTTCATTTGAACCCCAACAACACTGTTCATGGTTAAACCACAAAGCACTAAGGCAAATGCCTTCCTTTAAGTCAGTCATCCAGTCAGCAGCAATGTCAATTAATCCTGCCAGTGCCCCTGTTGTAGAAACAGTTTTGTATTAACACTCTGGCAAATATGAATAAAACACAGCTAAAACGAAGAATGTGCTGGTATTAACTGAAACTACAAAATGGTACATTTCAATGGTACATTGAAACTACAAAAAACCTAAAGAAACAGACATTTAAAATATTACCTATTTCCAGGAATATATCCTATTTGAAATACAGCAAGATTAGTAGCTGCTGAATAATTTAGTATCTTGTATAGTTCAAGTTAAATGCATCTTTTTTTTCTTTCTTTTTTTCCATGCTACAGTTCTCCAACAGTCCACTGAAACTAAGAAGTGTAAAATCAAAAGAGGACCATACATTTTTGTGATGAAAAGGACAACAGACCTTCTGACGAAGCTACATTGCCATGCCTCAGAGAACTAATGAACAATTCTATGTTTTGTTCAGAACAGTAAATTTGGAGAAAATAATTCTTACCTTGCCAACAACAGTTTTATAACAACAGAAGTATAAAACATCAAATAAACCCTGATGACATTCATGTGATACAAATACAAATTGCTTAAGTCTGTAGCATGGCTAGCAAGTAAAATTCCTGCTACAGGTAGCAAACAGTACACATATCAAGCAGCAGTTCACAAGCTTAAAGCTTTAGAGGGGTTGTGTGTAGCTACATGCAAAAAACTTGCTGAAGAGTCCTCAAAACACAGGCATTACTTAGGAAATTGCTTCCATATTAAAAAAGCCCACAACAAACACCACCACCTCCTTTATTTTACAACAGTAAAATCGTTTTCTGTGGTAGCACTTATACTGAAAAACTACTTCTAACATCAGTATTTTTGTGACCATGTACAACCACTAATTAGTTACTATTAAGTATTTTTAAGGTATTAATCAGTACCAGAAATAGCTGTCCAGAGACAGCCACAATTTACTTGTGTAAGTTGGTCCTAAAGAATTAATTCAAGTTTACTAATTTATATTTACTAATCTTTACAGACCCTCAATTTGAGATCCCGGGCCAACCAAAGTCAAAGGCAGTATTTCAGTGGAACAACATTTCAGCCAAATTAATTAAAATACATAAATGTAACGTCTCCCCATTACTGAAATCATGGTTGTATAATCTAAGATTCACTAGACACATATAGAAAGCAATTGAAACAGAAATACCTAGGAATATCTATGGCCAGAATTTGCTCATTTTGTTGCTCAGAAACACAGTAAAGTAAGTAATTTTAATATACATAGCAGCTTTGGGGGGTGGAAAAACAACACTGCACAATTCCCACCCAAATGATCACAGACAATTTCCAGTAATTATGCACTCCCAGTTTGTACATTGAGGTATATGAACACACTACAAACTTTGCATGTATGATAATTTTTGTGATTTGTTAAAGTGATTATGTATATAACTAAGTAGCAATTATACAGTTACCCTGCCTTTTTAACAGGCACAGTCATACTCTGCAACTAATCCAATTTTTCTGACATTTAATCTACGACCTCTGTTTGAACTACTTTTTGGGGCACAAAGTTAGTGACATCTCACTTCTGCACGTCTTGATCACTCCAAACTAAGCTAAGCACTGCATGACAGCAGGGCACAAGCCATCAGATGATGTTAGCTTTAAAACTCATCTTAAAATGTATTTAAAGGAAAAGACAGAGTTGAAGTAGAGGCCAACAAACTACCTGTTAAAAGCCAGTATCTTCTGTGTAACAACCTCTAAAAAGGTATGACATAAATATACAGCTATACTTTGTTCATGTGTAAACACATGTTTTAGAGGGAAGTGATAATGGAATCACAGAATGGTTTGGGTTCGAAGGGACCTTAAAGATCATATAGTTCCAAACCCCTCTGCATGGGCAGAGACATCTCCCACTAGATTTTTCAATCTAAACTATTCTGTGATGCTGTGTCTATTCTAACACAAATTAGCACCAGAAACATTCTTAATTTGCTTTTAAGGCCTTGTTTTACCTAATTTAGTACTTTAAATATGATACAGCAACTTTACAACTCAACACTGGACATAATTTCACTGACAGCAAATGATTTTCCACTGTCACACTTGGAACTGTTCATTTTAGCTGAGAACTGCTACATACTTGTTTTAGAGAAGGCTCCATGTTTATAGACTGGGAAGGGGAAATTTTGGATAAGCAGGGAAGTTGACAGAATCATAAAATGGCTAGGGTTAGAAGGGACCTTAGAGAACACGTATATCAAACTGTCTGCATGGGCAGGGACACCTCCCACTAGATCAGGTTGCTCAGGGCTCCATCCAACCTGGCCTCGAACACTTCCAAGGGTGGGGCTTCTGTAACTTCCCTGGGCAACCTGTTCCAGCGCCTCATCACGATCACACTGAAGAATTTCTTCCTAACATCTAATCTAAATCTACCCTCTTCCAGTTTTGATGCATCACCTCTTGTCCTCTTACTACAAGCCCTTGAAAACAGTCCGTAGGTAAAAAAGAAAAAACCAACAAAACTAAAACCAAACAAATTCATAGCAGAAAAATAATCTAGCACAGTCAATACACTTTCACAAAAAATCCTAGGGGGAAAAAAAGCAAAATTAACAGAAAGTTAGAACACCAATCTCAATCATAGGATTAAAGAATATTGGTAGTTTAGTAGGTGGAAATTCAATAACCCTGAGAAAACTCTCCCTAAATTCAGTGACGATTTTGTTTCCCATTTGATCAGTAAAGCATTCCCATAAAAATGCTGGAGCCTGTAAATCAAAATAGCCTAAGTTTTCCTTCCTTTGTGTAATTATGGTAGTGGTACAACCAGCTCTTTCCCAGGTTGGAGGATTAAACACAAATGAAAAGCACAGTAACTATACTTGCTGACAAATTAAAGAAAGAAATCCTCTGTTTTTTAACTTACCTGATGCTAAACCAGTTAGTGTGACTACTAGCCATCCTGACCATGCATCGTACAAACTTTTTGTCATTTCCCATGCTGATTCTTTCTTCTTGCTGTTAATCTGCAAAGAGAAATCGTTATGTATGCTGGTACATGTTTGTGTAGTATGAATAGGAAAAAAAACTAAGTATGACATTCAAACTGCATGATGGAAGCTGCAGACAAATACACCCTCTCTTTAAATTACAAGTGTTTTCCTTGTATTTAGCGCTTTACATCTAAAACATGTAATTGTAAAATTACTTCTCTCCTAAATCTTAAATTATTTTTTGTTGAACCTTAAGTAAAATATTAGTGTGCTACTGATAAGCTGCTGCATCCGATCCATATTCCTAAACTTCTATTTCAAATAAAAATATCTTTCTTTTATCTTTAGACAAAAACCAATTAAAAAAACCAAAATAAACCCCAAACCTGGCTATCTACTGTATAATACTTCTAGACAACTATTACTAGTGACATCTAAAGTACTGTAATGAAAAAAGTACCCGTCTATGCCTTTCTCTGTCTTTGCACTTCTCTCGAACCCAGTCAATGGTATGGAAGTCATCGTATGTTCCTACTCCAGGAATCGGTTCATCCAGAAGATCCAGTAAATGTGTTGAACTGTTGATAGTTCCTCCATTTGTCATTGTATAATGAGTTCCTGTGGCAGAGGAAAGACAGAAGTGAATTAATTCTGCAATAAATTAAGTATTCTAATGTTCGTAATACTATGGCATACAAAATTTCTGAACAAGTAATTAAGACACTTCCCATAATATGCATATTTTACTTTGTTTAGGTCTCTCAGTGTTGCACCTCAATAGTTTCTGTCACTCATGTGCAGGTTACATTTGCATGTTAGTAACTTCGTATTTCCACTGGTTAAAAATGAATGTACCAGTCAAACTGTGCTTTGTGTGCAGACTCCAGTGAAACTTCAATAAAATAAAGCAGAAATCATTATCAGCTTTGACAGACATTTAATTTGAAGTTTATTTCAGATTATGAACTACCAGAGGAAAATCTGACTGTAAAGAAACAAAAACAGATGCTCAGATATAAAGTTCACAGCACTTCCAAAAGTTGCCAGTAATTTTTAAATATGCATACCATTGATTACTAACCTCTCCTAAATATCTAAACCAAACCTGAAATACATTATCAGCAGATTATCAGCGCAGATAAAAAAAATAACAGAAAGCCAAGCAAGTACACTAAAAAAAAAAAAAAAAAAAAGTCATGTAACTCACGGAACAACTGATCTGCTATCTCTAGCCAGTTCCTTCACAAGCAGCTTGCATAGCAAGCAACCCAAAATCCTCGATTTCTTTGAGTGATCAGAGTAAGAAGAGGAAGAGGAGTACTGAGATTTTTTTTCCTCTTCACAAGTCATCAATAAAGTTTTATTTTTTAAGCTTTCACCTGTCATCAATACTTGGCTTTTTGAGTTCCTGTGGCATATTTACAGAACCCAAGTATAATTTTATCCTGGATGGCTGCCTAAATATAGCATGGCTACCATTTGCCCACCCAACACAAACTGCTTCTGAAAAAGTATTTGCTATAAAGGAGACATTTATAATGAGGTTATTATGGACAATTATTTAAAGTGTGATTACTCTCACTTGTTTGACTATGAACAAATTAATATGGGCAACAGTACCACAATAATGTCTGTTTTAGCCCAAGTTGGCCAAAACGTCTATCAGTTTAGACAGGCACTAGAACTCATTTCAGTAGGCTGACACTGGGATGGTGACTCAGGTGGTGTTTTTTTGAGTTGGGTTTTCCTGATTGGTTGGTTAGTTGGCTTGTTTGAGGTTTTTTTAATTGCAAGCTCAGCTTCTTAGTGTCATCAGAATTTCCAACTTCTAAAAAAACAAACAAAATACAAACGCACAACTGAACCAAAACAAAAAAACTTCCAAACGCTACAAATGCTGAATTCACCAGCCTTCTCATCAATAACTGACAATTAGATTTATGCATAGGTAAAATCTGCTTTTTCACTTTAAATTTGTGAAGTCTGAGATCTAGCAGAAGCAGTGTGCACCTGGCATTATATTCAAACATAAAGGCTTCAGCCATCTATTGTTTGAGAAGACTTGTTTGAGCCTGCCATATATCACATTGTTTATTTGGTTATTTTCTTAGCTATGATAGACAACATAGAAAAAAATAATTTTAAAATTCTATTAATACAAAATGCAATCTAAAATTTTCAAGATACACAAACTGCCATTCATGACATATACACAGTACATATAGAAATGCTTAAAACGCTATTAAAATGTTACTTTCATTTTAAAAAAAAAAATCTTCAAAGAAAATGCTAATGCAGGATACAACCGAACAATGCCAATACCATTCTTTCATGCTGGCCTTGCTGGCCTCTTTCTTCATACTGTTTTTCACCCAGTCTATGTCATATTAAATTCTCTCTCATCTATTCACTGTAGCTAAGCGCTGTAAATCTCTTCCTAAAGCTGCTGCTAGTCCCTCTTTAAGGCAGATGTAAAGAAGCATTACCTATGCTTCCATTAATAAAAGGCTAGCAGCAACAAATTAAATCAGATTTGCTGATAAGAGGTGACTGTGAAAACCTTGTTTTAGAATAAGGGATTCAGTTCTCTTGCTATTTCTAATTTTCATAACTAGAAAGCAAGTCTAAGTTACATGACTGGCTAGCTGAAAAGACAAGTAGTAAGAAAATTCTCACAGTAATTTTAGCTCTCAAAATTAAAAGGATAACAGAATACATTAAGAAAATGTTATTTTTACAAGAAATTAATGTCCTTCACAAAGCAAGGGGACAAGAATTAAATTCAGCCACAGTTTAGTTCCTAATCTCTGACAAAGTTACAACATGATCAAGCAGTTTCCTGAACCTGAGTGATCACAGTAGAACAAAAACTTTTCTTTGCCCCAGGGGGCTGGTTGTATGCCCTGCACCACACAAGGGAAAGTAGAGTTATAAATATATCACAAACAGTAACAGATTATTTTCTGCATATCACAAGGTGCTGAATTGGAATGCTCTCCGGGGAAATCATCTGAGATGGCACCATACTATATGTGCCAGATCCTAAGCAGAACTTGAAGTAAACTACAGAGAATGGTCATTTCCTGGATACAGTAAAAATCTCAGCAAAACTGTGTCAGGTTCCTACTTTGCCTGCATTTGCTGGCACACCAAATATTGAAGACGTGTTATTATTGTATGATAGGAAGGAGACATGGGAACAAGATGTGCAGAGGTGGTTTTCATGAATACAGAGCTGCTGTGAACATCTGATGCAGCTGAATAGCTATCTTGTACCAAGCGTGACACAGACAACAGTGATACCCTGCATTACTGTCCTGTAGAAAGGCTGCCCTATAGAGCACCATGAAGAGAATAAACTGTTCAAAATCTTATGTTCTGTATCTAAGATACTTATGTCCGACAGCAGTGGGAGAGTTCATTCTCCAAAGAGTATTATGGTCTATGTAGCATATAACTCCTCTAAAGGAAAATTTAGAGAAATACACCTTTGCCAGTACTCAGAACTTTTCAAACTTCCACTTCCCTTCCTTCTCTAGCATTCCACACAGTTAAGATGCTCCTTCAAGCTATGACAATGATTCTCATCAGCATAAACACATGCAAATTCACATCATTAATTTCCAGTGTCATTGAGGTGTTATTATTTTCAACTCAATAGATTTTGTTAAAACCCTTACTATAAAGCAGATTTTTCATCACATTCTAACCTCCAAGCAGGAAATAATCATTATCCTTAAAAATTGTAGCATTTTGCAAATGTAAACTTCCAGACGTTCCCAATGTTCAGAAAGTTTCCCCTTCCTTTCTCCTCCCCTTATCCCCAGTCCTCAAGTTGCAAGACTCTTTCTCAAGGCTACAACTCAAGTGCTTCTCATCAAAAGATGCCTTAGTCTTAAAGGCATCATGAAGCAGCCTTAGTCTTAAAAACCATAACAAGCACTCAGCACACAAGGTATATAGGCTCAGCCTCTAACTATGTTTTCCATATGTAAACATCTGAACCATTCTGCAGCTGTAAGGAAAGTAAAGCCTTCTTTTAGTTACATGTGAGTTTGCTTAAGGTTTTATTAGACTGGGAAGCAGATGGTAAAAGTGGCAAGCAGAACTTTTATTATCACTGTTATTCCAAACTAACCCATGATACTACATGGAGATAAATATCCTCTCAGAGGCTCAGTGCAACTCACAGGAATCCTTGCAAAGCAAATTCAACACAATGCTTCCATACATTGTGAAACTAAGGTAGCTAGCATTGCTTTATTAGCACACTTTTGTCCAACAGCATCTTTAACAATCCTTTATTCTCAACACACAGCTAGTGAGCTGCTGCAATCACGGACTGTGAGCTTGCAGACAGAAAGTTTCTAGGCAACAAAAGCAACATGCTTCTTCAGAGAAAGGAGATTGTATTTTTTAAGTGATTCAGTCGTTGTAGGTCTTCCCTAAACTACCTTCCAGGAAGGCAGCTGAGTTTTGTTATCTTTCCATGCATGTAATTCCAAGCCTTCAGCACAATCCTTTCTCAGATACAGGCTCTCTGGTAGTGCTGAAAAACTGCAACAACAAAAACAAACAAAAAAACCCCAAACAACAACAGCAAAAAAAACAGAACACACAAAAACCCCACCAAAACAAAACAACAAACCACGACCAAACAAACAAAAAAGCACTCAGAAAAACCAAACACCAAAACAAAATAATACAGAATATTGCATCATGTTGAAAGAAAAAGCCTGTAATAACCATTAAGGTTAACAGGAAAACACCGTACTTTGGGACACCAGAATGAGGTACAGTAAAAACAACTAAAAACACCACACGGACAAAACTGGAATAAGAGAAGAAGATTCCAACACCATAAAAAAGCTCCCATCTAAAGGAGTGGAGGTTTTGTTGGGGATTTTTTTTATGAGAATGAAAGAAAACACAGTCCAAATCACTGGAGAGGACACTGTGCCTGACAGGAAAAGCAGTCCTTAGCATATTGCTCTCCATTTCCTTCTGAACATGAATGGCTGTTACCTCCCAGAACTGGTAAGCCCTCTTGCTTTGCCTAGGTAATCCCTTGACGTAAAGCAGGAACAAATAAATTACAGAACTAATATTTTGCTATAATGACACAAGTTGTTTTATACATTACAGATTCCACCTTGACTTATGTGCCCCCTGAGACAAGGAATATCTTTCCCTTCATGTTCTGTATATGTGCCTCAGAAAAGCAGTCTTTAGTCTTGATGTTGGAACTATGATAAACATGACTGTTAAAGATTCATGCTAAATTAAGTCACTTCTGCCAAGCAGTTTTGAGTTTGCACAAATCTTAAATGTTTATACAATTAATTCCAATATTCCTTTAATCAATTTATTAATCCCAATATTCCTACAGTTAGTTGATTTCTACTTTTAACAATGACAGAAAGTTGATTTATGTAGATGACACACAGCATTTTTCAGGCGCCATGCAACACATAGCTGCTGAAAGTCATGTCTTTTTAAAGAAAAATACCTAGTAAGTTTTTTGTTTATGCATTTAAAAAAAAAAAAGATCAGGCCAACAAGGAATACCTTTAAAACATGAGCAGACCATTACTGACTATTCAGTGTGGTACAGTTAA